TTTAAAAAAAAAAAAAAAAAAAGAATTTTTTTTGAAAAGTATATATATATATATCCTGCAGAAACATTTTATTTGGTCAGCAGCACTTTTCTTAACCTAATTCAATGTTTTTAGATAAGGAATACACTCTACTTACTGCCACAGGCTCTCCTACTCTCTCATTTTACATAGACAACTTTCCTTAGTTTTTTTATTTCTAGTCTGGGGCCTATATGCAATTAAGTTTCCAATCACTGGCCAGGCACCTCATGCCTGTAATCCCTACCTTTGGGAGGCCAAGGCAGGAGGATCACTTGAGCCCAGGAGTTAGAGATCAAGCATGAGCTACAGCAAGACCCTAAAAAATTAGCCAGGTGTGGTGGCATGCACCTGTAGTTCTAGCTACTCAGGAAGCTGAGATGGGAGCCCAGGAGCTTGAGGCTGCAGTGAGCTATGATCACAGCACTGCACTTCATTCAGCCTGGGCACACAGCAAGACCCTGTCTCCAAAAAAAAGGAAAAAAAAAGTTTCTAATCACTGAATCAGATTATATGCTAAGATTTTATATGGTTATCAGGAACATTATTTGTACCTTTCTACTTAGTTTTCTTATGGTCATTTTCCCCACTAGAAAATCCAAAGTAAGGATTCACAAAATTATGTAATAATTTCAGAATTGCAAATAGCCTTAGAGATTATCTAGTAAAATCCAACACTCTTGTATCATGACATAGAGGAAAAGACTAAAGGCAAACTGCTTAAGTTTCCTGCTGAGAGTTTCTTAATACAAGTTGGTACAAGACAATTCAAATCAACATCAAAATATTTACCTTGTGTAAGACCTTATGCTGGAGCTCAACAATAAATAAATGTCCCTACCTTTCCAAGATACACAAGATACACAAGCTAGTAAAGGGCACAGACACATATACATGAAGCCATCATAGAAGGCACACATACTAAAAAAGGAAGGAAAAATTAATTTCTTTCAGTTTTAGAGAGACCAGAGAAAACTTCCTGAAGGGAAAACATCTAAACAGAGCTTTGAATAATGGGTAGGACTGCTGTTATAGACAAGATGTAAGGGCATAGGAGGAAAAGCCAAGAAGCAAGTAAGTGCACAGTATATTCCAAAAAAGTAAGTAAATCAGCATGGTTGGGGGAAGAGTGATAGAAGATTACCTAGGAAGAGTACAGACAAATCCTAAGAGCTAGTGCTTCCTATTTTCTTCTTTAGCCCACCTCTTCATCCCCCTGGGACCCAAGAACTTAGAAAAAGGTTAAATATAATTGGGAACTCAGTAGTAATTTATAATAATAAAAACATTAATGGCAACTAGAATTCAGAGTGGGATTATCATGTGCCACAAACATACAAAATACTTCACATGCATTATCTTGTTTGAACTTCATTTTAAAAATCTATTAGAGCTACATGCATGGCATGTGCCTGTAATTCCAGCACCTCAGGAGGCTGATGCAAAAGGATTGTGTCAGCCCTTAAGTTTGAGACCAGCCTGGGCAACATAGCAAGACCTCATCTAAATAAATAAATAAATAAAAATCTTTAAATTTTTAAAAACCTAAGAGGTACTAAAATAATGCTCATATCATAAAAGTGATAACTGAAGCTTATTAAGAATAAGTAACTTTTCAAATTCACAGTTAAAAAGCAGATTCACATACAACTCATCCGTCTGCAAAGCCTATGAACTAAACCAAAGTCAATAACAAATGGACAGATCAGAAAATTTACAATCAGATTACCAATTTTCAAATACCGATTTTTTAAAAATTAATTTTTGGGGAGAAACACAGCGACTACTTACCCTAACCTTTAATGAATGCTTTTGTCCTAAGGTTACGGAATGCTCTGGTATAAAGCTTCAAAATTTCCTACAACTGAGTGGCCTTAGGCAAGTTATGTTACGTTTGGGGGCTTCAATTTCCTTGTCTGAAAAACGGGTATAGCAGTACCTACTATGTTACGAGAATGTAGTTAAGGCATATAAACCTTAACTGTTACGAGAATGTTACGAGAATGAGTTAAGGCATATAAACCGCTAAACACAATGTCAGGTAGGACGTAAACCAGCGCTGTCCACAACATGATCCCTGCCCATGTAAGCAAGTAACCAGAGAGGTAACTTGAAAAGTTGAAAGCTTCCATATGGAGATGGAATAGTCTAACCTTGTCCAGAAAGATCACAGTAGACGTTCAGAAAACGCATTTACAATGGCCTTTGGGTTATGGGTAATCCTGATATCTGCAAAGCTTATGCAATAAGGTGGCGAAAAAATAGAGTGACAAAGTAGCGGCACGGGCTGTCTCATTCGCCTCAGTAGCCCCAGAGCCTACAGCACAGCTAGGCACGCCGGCGCTCAGTTACCAACTGGCAGAATAGTCAAGATGCCTTAGGCCCTTCTGAAACTCCGAAGCGACTTACCCCAAGGCGAGCTTCCCCTGGCTCCTCAGGTTCTGTATCCCTAACGCACCTGCAACATCAACACAAGCCGTCAATTCAGATTCCATCTCGACTCCCTTCTGTCGCTTAACCACTAAGAAATCCTTACCCAACTGTCCCAGGACCGCCGCCGCCATCTTCCGCCCTCCCGCTACGGAAGCCTCAAGAGTTCAAGCGCCTTCTGGACAGCACGCATGCGCAATACTCCGGATTTCCTGTGGGGGCTCTCCCACAAGCAGTACCTACACCTGCGGTGCTGTCATGAAGACCGCGAGCACTGGGCCGGTGCTCGAGGTGTGGTCAGGCGAGCCTGGCTTGGGAATGAATGAATTAATAAAGGCCGAAAGCGCGTGGGTTTCCGAAAATTCACCTGGATTCAGAAAAACTGCGAAGCCCCACTCACAAACTCGAAAGGAGTAGGGGAACAGAATACGTGAACAAGCGACCTAATCTGGTGGCCCTCAGTTTTCTTTTCAGAAATGACTAACGCTAGGGCACAAGCTTGTCGTAAAGATAAGTTGAAATCGTGTGAAAGCTATTTTATTTCATTTTATTGAAACAGGGTCTCTCTCTCGCTCAGGCTGGAATGCGGTGGCAACGACCTAGGCTCACTGCAGCCTCGACCCCGGGCTCAAGCCACCCTCCCACCTCCGCCTCCCAAGTAGCTGGGACTACAGGCTCACGTCAAGTCTCCACGCCCAGCTAGTTTTTGTATGTTTTATAGAGACGGAGTTTCGCCAAATTGCCCAGGCTGATCTTGAATTCCTGGGCTCAAGCGATCTGCCCTCCTCGGCCTCCCAAAGTGCTGAAATTAGAGGTGTGAGCCACCCAACCTAGTCTAAAATCTCTTTTAAAGAGCAAATAGTTCAAATATGATGTATGTTGTCCTAATCCCTACTTATCTGGTTGACCTTCAAGAAATGAGTTTATATTCGTCTGGCATTTACTGCCGTTTATCCGGCAGGTATTTCACTAAAATCTCAATTATTCCTCACAGCAATCCAACAAGGCATGGATTATCATTTTCCTTCTTCAAATGAGGAAACACATTTAGGATAGGTTAAAGTCTCTCAGCTAACAACTGGCAAACCAGTAATCAATCTACAGCTAGGTGCCTCCAAATTTGTGCTCCTAGACGCATCCAAATATATGTATTCGACTCTCTGTATTAATGACAGGTAGTTCAGATTTCGGTTTGCTACATATGCAGGAGTGCCAGATACCCAGTGCAAACAAGCAACATACGAGTAGTGCAGAATCTGAGCATTTTAGCAGTTTTGAGTTGAAAGGAAACTTTCTTCCACACTATTTACCACATATAGCTTCCTTCACAGAGCTGGCCCTCAATCAAGCAAATCAAGAGTCACTCCATTTGCTTCTCTTTCATCTTTGAGTACCCAGAACCCAGAGCCAGAATTGCTACCCAGTTGCAGAAACTGTTCTTTCCCTTTTTAATTCCAGATTTGTACTTTCATATTTTTATTTTTTTGAGACAGGGTCTCACTATTGCCCAGGCTTGAGTGCAGTGGCACAACCACAGCTCACACCAGTCTGTCTCTCAGGCTCCATATTTTTGTTAAGTGGCTTCTTGTGCATATCTTTTCTGTTCCGTTTTGTTCTGTTTTTATTTGAGATGGAGTCTCGCAATGTCGCCCAGGCTGGAGTGCAGTGGCGCGATCTCCGCTCACTGCAACTTCTGCCTCCCGGGTTCAAGCGATTCTCCTGCCTCAGCCTCCCGAGCAGCTGGGATTACAGGCGCCTGCCGCCACACCAGCTTATTTTATTATTTTATTTTATTTTTTGTATTTTTAGTAGAGACGGGATTTCACTATGTTGACCAGGCCGGTCTTTAACTCCTGACCTCGTGATCCGCCCGCCTCGGCCTCCCAAAGTGCTGGGATTACAGGCGTAAGCCACCGCACCCGGCCTCTTGTGAATATCTTTAAAACACCTCCACAACTAGCAAAGTACCCTGGCACATAGCGTTCAAAAAACACTGGACAGGATAGTGGTCGAACAGATCTAAAGAATAAACTGGTAGCGTGGAGCGTTGGTTCTACTAGTCTAATCCTCTAATTTTGTGCTTTTCTGTGCGAAGTGAGAATGCTTAACCTCGGGGCTGTGCTCAGGCAACATCCGATCCTGGCCAGGGTTGCGGCGGACCTCCTCCCCCGGGCTAGGTACTGAGGGCCAGCGCCGCACACGCGGTCCAGCCCTTCCCAGCCCGCCGGCAGCTGGAACGGAACGCGCGGTGCTGGCTGAGCCTCGACGCGCACCGTACCGACTGCCCGAGAAGGCGGGGCTCGGAATTCACCCCGCCCCACTCCCTGTCTAAGGCGTGAGGCTACGAGCGTTCGGTTGTGGCTGCTTCTCTTGACTCCGACGGCTTGTAGTTATGGGGCAGGAGCCGCGGACGCTGCCGCCCTCCCCCAACTGGTACTGCGCCCGCTGCAGCGATGCCGTGCCCGGGGGCCTCTTTGGCTTCGCCGCGCGGACCTCCGTCTTCCTTGTCCGCGTGGGCCCGGGCGCAGGCGAGAGTCCTGGGACACCCCCGTTTCGAGGTAACTCACCACCCTTGGGCTCGAGACTTCCTGCCCTTTCTGCGCTCCCAAGAGGCGCCGAGTGGACGTCTCCAGCCACCCCGTTTTCTACAGCTAGGGAAACTGAGGCCCAGGCTGGGAGGAGAGGCAGCCCACAGTCACTAAGTTGAGTTGCTTCTGGTCTCCAGCATGAGCTACACCATGCTGTGGCCGAGCGGTCCCGCCTCCTGGAGCTTCCACGTGGGACCGATTGCTTACTGAACAGTTAGCCTTATATAGTCCCGGCCATTTATATGGCTCCCCCGCCCATCCCGGTGCGCGCCAGCCCGCCGGGAGCCTTCCTGGGGTTGGGGTTTGACTACAGCTGCAGGCCCTAAGCAAGATCCTGCAACGTGTGGCCTTCCTTACTGTTAGATGAATGGGTTAAACCAGATGCTTTCAGGCTCCAAACTAGGCTTTGATTGTGCCTTAGGATATGACGTGCCAGGTAATTTATTCTGGCCACATCTAAATAAAAATCACTTTCACATTATTTGAGCTGCTTTCCAGTCTGTGAACTAAGCAGAGCAAAGTATATCAACATTCATTTCACAGTTGAGAAGCTGAGGCACAGAGGCTTGTTCGAAGTCACGTGGCACAGCCAATATCAGCACTTGGGAATTCTGATTGTAAGTCCTTCGGTTTTCAGTTATACCATGGGTTAAGTAACGCCAAAGCATCTGCTCACTCATCATCCAACAACAGTATGATTCTGCCAGGAACCTTGGATAGCACTTGGATTAACCTAGCGTCTGGTTTTGCTTAAAGTCATAGGAGAATTGGTGGGACACACCGAAAGGGTGTCCGGCTTCACATTTTCTCATCACCCTGGTCAGTACAACCTCTGTGCCACCAGCTCCGACGATGGAACTGTGAAAATATGGGATGTAGAGACAAAAACAGTTGTGACAGAACATGCACTCCATCAGGTACCATGGCTTACTGGTTTCTCAGACCGTTTTTATGTATCTGTGCTAAGGGTTCTTCTGTTGCAAGCTAGTTTTGCTAGCTCATCTGTGCAAAGTACCTTGTAATTGTTCATTAATTAGATAAGAAACCATATTGTAAGATGTCTTAACTTTTTTTGAAAGGAGATACATACAAACCGGAGGTTGGCAAACTGCTTTTGTAAATAGGTTTTATTAGAATACAACCACACTAATTCATTTAAGCATTGTCTATGACTGCTTTCATGCTACAAGCGTTGAGTAGTTGCAACAGGCATGGTATGGCCCACAAGGTCTAAAACAGTTACCCTCTGGTTATTGATATAAATGGACTCCTGATATAGATTGTAAATGCGTGAATGAATTTCTAAGCTATATAGTTACTTGATATACCTGCTTTTTGAGAGAACAAAGGAAAAGGAAAAGGCTTACTTAATCTTTGTAAGAACTTTGCATTAAACTGTTAAAAAAATTTTTAATGATTGTTTGATTCCCAGTAGTCTAAATCTTCCCACCATTTTGTTAATATCATGTTGCTAAACAAGTACTACTAGTAAGTATTAACTACTTTTAATGTATGTATGTAGCATTATGCTGGTTTGTGATACAAGTTAAAAATTAAGTAAAACTTCAGCATTGACAACAAATTTTTGTGTTGTTTTAAAGCATACAATATCAACATTACACTGGTCTCCTCGAGTAAAGGACTTAATAGTATCTGGGGATGAAAAAGGAGTAGTTTTTTGTTACTGGCTTAACAGAAATGACAGCCAGCACCTCTTTATAGAACCCAGGACAATTTTCTGTCTTACTTGTTCTCCTCATCATGAAGATTTAGTAGCCATTGGGTAAGTACTGTGCCATCTGTATTGATGATTTTTGTTTTGTTTGTGATCGTGTTTTGCATGTTCTTTATCTTCTTCTGTCCTTTTATTCCTCAAAGAAAACCATCTACAGATGTTAACCACTCCCCCTGAGCCCTTGGCATCATTTATTCCTCCAGGTCCTTACTGTTTCTGCCACTCCCTCTGTTTTTGTTTCCTTGGTTTCCATGGTACTGTACCTTCTTGGTTCTTCATATCTAACTCCTCCAGTCAACCTTTAAATGTAGGAAATGTCCTCTTTCACCTTTTTCACTTTCTCTACTGCCCTTTGATATAACATGAACTCCCAGGTGTCAGATAACTTTGCTGGGTCTCTCTGGTTCTGAGCGCTCCGTCTAGATTGGGAAAGTGATATGGCATTGGGATCTGTTTCCTCATTGATCACCAAGGTTGTTTCACATGATACCCCTTTCCTTCACCATTTCATGTACTTCTCATTGAAAGATGTCTATTTTCTCTAATTTGAAGACTTAAGCAATTTCCCTAGAATGTTGAAGGAGAAATCTGACTGGAGTGAACTTGAAAGACTGGGGACTAAGGTAATAGAGGTATACAAAGAGACAACAACTCTTTCACAAAGTTTGTTGTAAAAATGTGCATAGACATGAAGCCAGAGGGGATAGATGGGGTCAAGGGAGTATTAAATGGGAAATACAGGGGACCTGTTTTTATGCTGATGGAAGTAAGGCTTGAAAAGAGGAAGAGCTAGTTGCAGGAGTGAACTATGATAAATGCAGGGGTGATGCTGAAAAGTCAAGAGGGGATTAGATTCAGATGACAAGAAGAAAGAACAGCCGGGAATATGGAAATAAGTGCAGGTAGATTTGTAGATGTGTTTGGAAGAATGGAACCATTCTGGGATTTCTGATTTTCTCAGTGTGGCATAAGTAAGAGTGGTAGAGTCAAGTTCACCATGGGGTTGAAACTGGATATGCAAAGAGGTATGAAATTGGTCAAAGAGGATAGGAAAATGAATGTACTAAGAAAAATCGTAGGCCCAATGTTCACTGTTGAGTGGCAAACAAAGAATCATGACCGTTAATTTAAAGTAAACCCAAACTGTTTGAGAAAGGAGATGGTTGGATTCAGCCAGGTTTGGGGCTTTGTGGAGTAAGTACTCTTGAGGGAGAAGGAGACGGGGAGTATGGGTAGTTTTAAAAGTCGATGATAAGGCGCAGGGGCTCACACCTGTAATCCCAGCACTTTGGGAGGCCAAGGCAGACGGATCACCTGAGGTCAGGAGTTCAACACCAGCCCTGCCAACATGGTGAAATCCCATCTCTACTAAAAATAAAAAAATTAGGCTGGGCGCGGTGGTGCACACCTGTGATCCTAGCACTTTGGGAGGCCAAGCAGGCAAATCACCTGTGGTCGGGAGTTCAAGACCAGCCTGACCAACATGGAGAAACCCCGTCTCTACTAAAAATACAAAATTAAGTGTGGTGGCGCATGCCTGTAATCCCAGCTACTCGGGAGGCTGAAGCAGGAGAATCGCTTCAACCCGGAGGCGGAGGTTGTGGTGAGGCAGGATTGATCCATTGCATTCCAGCCCGGGCAACAGGAGCAAAACTCCATCTCAAAAAAACAAACAAAAATTAGCCAGACGTGTTGGTGCACACTTGTAATCCCAGCTACTCAGGAGGGTGAGGCAGGAGAACAGTGTGAACATGGGAGGTGGAAGTTGCGGTGAGCCGAGATTGCGCCACTGCACTCCAGCCTGGGCAACAGAGCAAGACTCTTATTTAAAAAAAAAAAAAGTCAATGATAGTGATGGATCATGAAATCTGTGCTGCATTGGGTTGGGGGAAGAATGGAAAGACAGGTGTGGGTGAGTGATAGTGATAGTGAAAATGGAAGTGGACTGGATCGGCAGTCTCTTGAAGTGGGAGCAGCGTTGCAGTAGAGTTGCTAGAGAGGATGAACAGAAAGGTAGTAGGCAGGGGTCAGGGGAGGATCTTCAAAATAGTATTATTCCCAGAAAGCTTGATTCAGATTTCTAAATAGCTTGATCTGTTGACAATTAGGTTGCATAACTTGGCAGTTTTCAAAGTCCAGCTCTTCAAAGGTTGACATACTCTAGTATGTCTTTCTTTTTAAAAAAAAGTAAATAAAGCTGTGCTGGTGTTCTTCCCTGTCAGATGCTCTAACGTGTAGGAAGTGTGAATAGGTACAACAACTTTGTAGAATGCAGTTTTGTACTTTCTAATAAAGATGCATGTATCTTAACATCCTGGCAGTTCTATTACTGGGCATCAAACCTGAAATTGTCTTAGACATGTACCTGAACATTAATAGCATTTTTTTTGTTGTTGTAAAAAATGGAAGCCCTTCAAAAGGAAAATGAATAAACTTTGATATGTTCACACACTGCAGTGCTAATACAATAGTGTAATGACTGGCCAGGAACTAGAGTTACTTGTATCAACATGGATGACTTACAAACAGAATGAGTGAAAAAAACAAGCTGCAGGAAAACAGATGATAGCATTTATATGCAGTTTTAAAATATGCAAAATCTATATCTTATTTAGGAATATATACAAAGAAAGGCTAGGAATGATGTAACACGATTCACAAATAGAGTTTGACCTCTGGGTAAAGGAAGAAAAGGAGAAGAGATCTGGCAAGGAGAGAGGTTTGATTGAGGTGGAATGTACAGAGGGCTTCAGCTCTATTGGTAATTATTTTTCTTAGGCAGGGTGGTAGATTACTTTTTTTATGTATCTGAAATAATTCATTTTTTAAAAGCTATTAGAATTTCTCAGTTTCTTGTGAGTTCATAAAATGATAGCCTTGGAATATGCAGGTCTAGAGTGTAGAATTCTGCAACTTTTGTTAAGTTCACAGTTAAAAAAGTAGTATCACTTCTAAAAAAGAGATTATTTTCCAGTGCACTAGGACAAAATTATCTCTAATTAGAAGAGTTGGCCGGGTGTGGTGGCTCACGCCTGTAATCCCATCACTTTGGGAGGCCAACACAGGTAGATTACTTGAGCCCAGGAGTTCAAGACCAGCCATGAGGCCGGGCGCGGTGGCTCAAGCCTGTAATCCCAGCACTTTGGGAGGCCGAGATGGGCGGATCACGAGGTCAGGAGATCGAGACCATCCTGGCTAACACAGTGAAACCCCGTCTCTACTAAAAAAAAAAATACAAAAACTAGCCAGGCGAGGTGGCGGGCGCCTGTAGTCCCAGCTGCTCGGGTGGCTGAGGCAGGAGAATGGCGTAAACTCAGGAGGCGGAGCTTGCAGTGAGCTGAGATCCGGCCACTGCACTCCAGCCTGGGTGACAGAACGAAACTCTGTCTCAAAAAAAAAAAAAGACCAGCCATGAGCAACATGGTGAAACCCCATCTCTGTAAAAAAAATTCAAAAATTAGCTGAGCATTGCATGCACCTGTAGTCCCAGCTATTCTGGGAGGCTGAGGTGGGAGGATTGCTTGAGCCTGGGAAGTCAAGGCTGCAGTAAGTGGTGATTGTGCCACTGCACTCCAGCCTGGACAACAGAGAGGGAAAAAAACAAAAAAAAGTTGCTGGACACTTGCAAAAACTATGAAAGTTCCCTTAGAACAAAATCATGGTCCACTGTGAGCTTTGTACCAGGCAACGTACATAGAATTACCTAGTGCCAAGAGTTTGATCCTAGAGAGAAGGGTTTTAACAAAACCAGGAGACATAAGGTGAGCACATTTAAAAAAAGGAAAAAACAAAATTATTTTTTGTCCTCTTCCCTCCTCCGCCACCCCAAATGCACCTAACTTTAAGGAATGCGCCAATGGTAACTCTAAGCCAAAATGTTTGCTAGAGACTCTGTTCTGTCTTCATTTTTTTAGTAATATTTCTAACTCTTGTTTTTTAGCTACAAGGATGGCATAGTGGTGATAATTGACATCAGTAAGAAAGGAGAAGTTATTCATAGGCTTCGAGGCCATGATGATGAAATCCACTCCATAGCCTGGTGTCCCCTGCCTGGTGAAGATTGTTTATCTATAAACCAAGAGGAAACTTCAGGTAGAGATGGTTTAAGGGAAGGTTCAGTACTCTTGAGGCCTGAAGAACAGAGTGGGTACAATTATATCATTTTATCGCTTATTTATTTATTTATTTATTTATTTATTTTTGGAGACAGAGTTTCGCTCTTGTTGCCTAGGCTGGAGCGCGATCTCAGCTCACCGCAATCTCCGTCTCCCAGGTTCAAGCGATTCTCCTGCCTCAGCCTCCCAAGTAGCTGGGATTACAGGCATGCGCCACCATGCCCAGCTAATCTTGTATTTTTAGTAGAGACAGGTTTCTCCATGTTGGTCAGGCTGGTCTTGAACTCCCGACCTTAGGTGATCCACCTGCCTCAGCCTCTCAAAGTGCTGGGATTACAGGCGTGAGCCACTGTGCCCGGCTGAATTATATCATTTTAATTATACATAAAACTTCAAATTTTACAGTTCAGACCTATGAAAGAGATAGCTAAGTTTTGGGAACTCTTGCAAACTAGTTGTTTTATATTAGTGCGTGTTTAATGCAAATTAAAAGCAAAATTGCTACCTATCTCATAGAAGAAGCTGAAATTACCAATGAGAATGCTGTGGCACAAGCTCCAGTAACAAAAGGCTGCTACTTAGCCACTGGAAGCAAAGATCAAACCATTCGAATCTGGAGCTGTTCTAGAGGCCGAGGTAAGATTGATCTTTCTTTTGTGATGTAACCTGTGTTGATCTGGTGGAAATAGAGGGTTTTTTGTTCTGTCTTACTGTCCTGTGGGTGTGTCATCTATCTGAGAGCAGTTCTTCACTTTTCGGTCTAGAATTCTGCTTCCTCATTTGAGCCTGGGCTAGAACTCTCTATTCTCTCAACATCTGGCCTTAGAGATGAGTATTTCCCATGCATTCCAGAAGAAAACAAGGACCTCTTGGTTTATAGAAGGGTCACTATTTGGCATGGAGAGCAGAATATTTGTAATAAAAACGGGAATATTAGAACATGATATGGCCTAGGCCAGGAGAATGGAAAAGATCTCAAGAGTTAGAGCTTTTAATGCACAAATGCAGAGTAACATACACCCAGCCTGGAATTATGTGTAAAAGCTCATTTTATCCAAATTATAGAGCCCCTCAATCATTTAGCGTTCCCAAATTTCTCTTTGAACAGAACTTTTCTCATTAAGTTTAAAAATTAAGAGAAACTCTAGGCATAATGAATATTTATAATATATTAGGGAATATAACCTTTATAGTAAAAATCTTGCTTTTCTCTTTCTAGCGGGCTTCTCCATTTTATTTTTTTTTCTCGCAGTTTTTAAGCTGTGGTGGAAAATACAATATTTGCCATTTTTATCACTTTTAAGTGTACATTTAAGTGGTATTAAGTATACCCTAAAGTTGTGCAACTGTCACAACCACCTGTCTCCAGAATTCTACTCTCCATTCTCCCCTCCCCTGGGCCCTGGCAACCATCATGCTGCTTTCTGCTCTATGATTTTAACTACTCTTGAGTATTTTCTTTGAGTGAAATTAGACATATGATATGTCTTTTTGTGACTGGCTTATTTCACTTAGCATATATCCCTGAGGTTCGTTGATATTGTACCGTACGTCAGCATATCCTTCCTTTCTAAGGCTGAATAATATTCCATTGTATGTATGTCCCACATTTTGCATACCCACTCATCCACTCGATCTCCTGACTTCATGATCTGCTCGCCTCAGCCTCCCAAAGTGCTGGGATTACAGGCATGAGCCACCGCGCCTGGCCAAAAAAAGAAAATATACTCTTAATATGTTGAGGTTGTCAAGATAGCTTATGGAAGCTTATTTGACCTAAATGTAGCTAGACTAGTATTAACCACTATTTATAGTGGTTAAAAATATAACCATTATAATGGTTATAATTGTAACCATTGGAAAAGGAGATCTGAGTTCTAAGTAACCAAACTAACAAGCTTTTACAGCTCAGACTGTGTATTGTGAACTGCCAGCAATGTCATGCATGTAATTTCACTGTCTTGAGTGCCCATTGGCCTTCCTTTTAATCTGCAGGGGTGATGATTTTGAAATTGCCCTTTCTGAAGAGAAGAGGAGGGGGTATAGACCCAACTGTTAAAGAGCGCCTTTGGTTGACACTCCATTGGCCCAGCAATCAGCCAACACAGCTGGTATCTAGCTGTTTCGGGTAAGTCTTTTATGGTCATGCTTTCTTAGATATGTTTTGTTTTTCTATTTGGCCTCAAGGACTCCTAGGTTTCTCTTTGTAGATGGAGAAAATAATGGCCAAGGCTTGTATTATGATGGACCCCATTTGAAATGGAAAAATTGTGAGACTGATGCTTGTGCTGTCTACTAACAGAGCTGTAAAAAGATCAAATAAGTATAGTCTGGCAGTTAGGAATATGGACTCTGAAGTCAGAACTAAATTTCAGAATCACTTTGTCACTTATTGCCTTGTATTCATGAGCAAGACCCTTTACTTTTCTGAGCTTCAGTCACTTCATATATGGAAAGAGGAGATGGTTATAATATTTTCTCTTAGGTTGGATGGCTATACCCATTCAGTAAACAGAGTTCATTGACTACCTACTTCTAGTGACTGGAGATAAATCTGTTTAAAGGGTAGTCCAGTATACTCACATGGTTCAAGAAGAATGAAATTATATAATAAACTGTCCTGTCTTCCCTGGCTACTTGGTTCCCCTTTCTGTGGCTAATTTTTTTTTTTTTTTTTTTTAAACAGGGTCTTGCTCTGTTACCCAGGCTTGAATGCAGTGATGCAAACACAGCTCACTGCAGCCTCAACCTCCTGGGCTCAAGCAATTCTCCCACCTCAGCCTCCCAAGTAACTGGGACCATAGGTGTGCACCATCATGCCCAACTAATTTTTTAATTGTTTGTAGAGACAGTCTCACTTTGTTGCCTAGGCTCTTCTTGAGATCTGGACTCCAAGCTATCCTCCTGCCTCAGCCTCCCAGAGTGCTGAGATTCCAGATGTGAGCTACTGCACCCAGCCTTCCCAGAGATATTTTGTGCGTATTTTCAGAATATGCAGTTTTTCTCTCCTTAAAAGACAAATCATTTTGCAGCTATGAGCCTAGACTCTGTGACTCAACAGTCACTTGTTTTCAGATTGTTTGTAAAAGAACTAATGCTTATGTTTTTCCTTCACAGAGGTGAACTGTTGCAATGGGATCTCACTCAATCTTGGAGACGGAAATACACCCTCTTCAGTGCCTCATCAGAAGGGCAAAATCATTCAAGAATTGTGTTTAATTTATGTTCTTTACAAACAGAGGATGACAAACAGCTATTACTTTCCACATCAATGGATAGAGATGTAAGAGCTGCTTATTTTCACTCAGCATTGTAGAGCAGCAGTTTACAACTTGGGTGGAATTAGAGGGCTTTTTCAAAGCACCTGTCAAGTCATAATACCCCACCCCTGACTCCAATTTCAGAGTTACTGCTACAGATCAGCACTGAATATATCAATAGCTCACATGTAGGGAGAATGTGAAGACCCACCAAAATGGTTTTTTGTTAAAGCAGACATGATAAAGAAGGGTAGTTTTGCCCAGGGAAGGATATATTAGGTCAAGCTTGTCCAACCCATGGCTCAGGATGGTTTTAAGCTCATCAGCTGTTGTTAGTGGGGTTTTTTTCTTTTTTTTTTTGAGACAGAGTCTCGCCCTGTCTCCCAGGCTGGAGTGCAGTGGCGCGATCTCAGCTCACTGCAAGCTCCACCTCCTGGGTTCACGCCATTCTCCTGCCTAAGCCTCCCAAGTAGCTGGGACTACAGGTGTGCCCACCTGCGCCCGGCTAACTTTTTTGTGTGTGTGTTTTTAGTAGAGACAGGGTTTCACTGTGTTTGCCAGGATGGCCTCAATCTCCTGACCTCATGATCCCCCTGCCTCAGCCTCCCAGAGTGCTGGGATTACAGGCATGAACCACCATGCCCAGCCTAGTTTTAGTGTATTTTATGTGTGGCCCAAGACAATTCTGCTTCCACTGTGGCCCCAGGAAGCCAAAAGATTCGACACCCCTGTGTTAGGTCCTCATGCTATGGTTTATCCTGGTTTGTAGTTTAGCAGAATAGAAATCTTTCAGAGACTATTGACTTTAGTTGAAAGCCTGTTACCTTACTGTTTTGCAGTTAAACTGGGATTATTTGGTAGACTTCGTTTTCTCCCAAGCCTGTCTCTTTTTAATCATCAAGTGATGATTAAAAACTTACCGCACCTCCTTCCCGGGGTATGATAAGGTGTTTTGCCTTTTGAGAGAGCAGTTCTTTGATTTTTCCACTGTGCCGAGGCCATCTTCTTAGAGTTTGCCAAATGAGGAGGTTACCAGTGCTATAGTAGGACAGAAAGACCCCCGAACTTGGAGACAGGAGGTGTGGGTTCTGGTTTATTAATTGTGTAACCCTGAATTCACTTGACATCTTTGGAAATAAATGTATTTTAAGATCCCTGTAAGCAACATAATTTATTACTAATTTTTTTTTTCTTAGCAGTGCTTTCTTCGATCCCTACTGGAAGACATACGTTATCCTTACCCATTCTTTGAGCCTATCCCATTTCACGTATCAGATTTTTTTTTTTCTTGTTTCTCTGTTCTTTTTTATGTTTAGGCCCTTACCATTAATCTTTGTGTTTAGGCCCTTACCATTAATCTTTGCAGGTAAAATGCTGGGACATGGCCACCCTGGAGTGCTGCTGGACCCTGCCTTCCCTTGGTGGGTTTGCATACAGCCTGGCTTTCTCTTCTGTGGACGTAGGCTCTTTGGCCATAGGTGTTGGGGATGGCATGATCCGTGTATGGAATACACTCTCCATAAAGAACAACTATGATGTGAAACATTTTTGGCAAGGTGTCAAGTCCAAGGTTACAGCGGTAAGGATTTTTTTGAGCTTGTTTTGAACTTTTTTTTTTTTCAAATAATTCTCTTTTATGCCTGTTCATTTAAATGAGCTCTGTTGGTAATCAAAAGTTTTAAAGTATGTTGAGTGAAGTTTGAAACTAGGAAAGCAGAAGGATCCTGTAACTAAACCCATTATCCTCCAGAGTTTAAATTTATAAAGACTTTGTTCATCTCAGCATTTTTTCTAATAGTGAGAAGTTAGAAATAGCCTGACTGTATATTCATAGAAAATACATTAAGTTATAAGATAACCACATGTTGGAATGGCATCAGATTATTGAAAATGATAATGTAGATTCTTTCTTCCTTGATATGGAAAGATATATAAATGATTTATGAAAAATGTCAATTATAAAACATGGAAAGCAGGTTACAAAACGGTATGTGTAATTTTTTTGGTTTTCTCTAAAATGATACCTTTCTTTTGGCTACTGAATCTAAAGGTAATAAACTTCTATGGTTTAAAAAGAAAATCAAACAACACAAAAATGGAGAAAGGAAACATTTTTTTCCTACTTTACCCTCCACTCCAGTCCCCTACTTGAATAATCCAGAGAACTACTGTGGACAGTTTATGATCTATCTTTTCAAATTTTGTAAACTATTTAATATTAGTAGAACTGTATTTTCTAAATTCTTCCAGAATCTTATATTCCCACTCAACAGTGTATAATGCACATCATTTATGTATTTGAACTCATTTGGTTTTTTCAATTGTGTATAAGCTTATTCACAAAAATATCTGGAAAGAGAGATACAAGATCTGCAGTCGGTTTTTTGAATGAAAGATTACAGATGACATTGACTTTGTTTTTAATAACCTTTTTCTCCTTTAAATAATGAAGAAATCAGAGCAAGAAAGTTTTCTCTTTGGATACTTAAAGGGTAATGTAAGGATTCCTTTAACTATATGCCCCATTTCTTATATTCTCACTTGGGAACTCTTTTTTTGTAGCTGTGCTGGCACCCAACCAAGGAAGGTTGCTTAGCTTTTGGAACTGATGATGGAAAAGTGGGATTGTATGACACCTACTCCAACAAGTAAGAAATGGGTGATTCTTCTTCCATTGTGGCCCAGGGGAGCCAAAAGATTGGACACCCCTGCTCAAGAATAATCCCTCAGTTTCCTTTTCATAGCGTTGCCTTTTCAATTTGAAGACTACAAATCAGTTGTTTGATAAACTATTCCACATTTTGGACTTGTCAGTTATCTCCTTGTGGTAGCTTCTAACTCATTTCCCTGTTCCCTATATTTCGTATGAACCAGAAGTTATGTGTAGAGCTACATTGTCCACTACAGCAGTCATTAACCACAGGTGATTACAGAGCACTTGAAAGGTGCCAAGTCCAAACTGAGATGTGCTGTAAGTGTAAAATACACTGGAGTTTTGAATCTTAATATTTGAAAAAAGTTAAAAGTCTCATTAATAATTATTTTATTTTTTATTACATTTTAAATAATATTTTTGAGTCTGCTGAGTTAAATAAAATACATTATTAAAATTTCACTTTTTTTTTTTTGCTTTTTTTAAATATGGCTACTAGAAAACTTTAGGTCACATATACCGTTCCTATTTGTGGCTTACATTGTTTATTTTTGTACGCTGCTGCTCTGGAGGCTTGATTAGAATCCAAACCTGTGTTGTTCACTTTGGTAGTGTTTCACATGTCCATGTGAAGAGATCACCAAACAGGCTTTGTGTGAGCATCGTGGCTGTTTATTTCACCTGGTTGCAGGTGGACTGAGTCCGAAAAGAAGTCAGCAAAGGTGCTGGGATTATCATGAGTTCTTACAGGTTTTGGGATAGGCGGTGGAGTTAAGAGCAATGTTTTGGGGGCAGGGGGTGGATCTCACAAAGTACATTCTCAAGGGCAGGCAGAATTACAAAGAAACTTCTTAAGGGTGGGGGAGATTATAAAGAACATTGGGCCAGGCACGGTGGCTCACGCCTATAATCCCAACACTTTGGGAGGCCAAGTGGGCGGATCATCTGAGGTCTAAAGTTCGAGACCAGCCTGACCAAGATGGAGAAACCCCGTCTCTACTAAAAATACAAAATTAGCTGGCATGGTGGCACATGCCTGTAATCCTAGCTACTCAGGAAGACTGAGGCAGGAGAATCGCCTGAATTCCGGGAGGCGGAGGTTGCAGTGAGCCGACATTGCTCCATTGCACTCCAGCCTGGGCAACAAAAGCAAAACTCCATCTCAAAAAAATAAAATAAAATAAAATAAAATAAAGAACATTGATCAGTTAGGGTGGGGTAGAAACAAATCACAATGGTGGAATGTCATCAGTTAAGCTATTTTCACTTCTGTGGATCTTCAGTTGCTTCAGGCCATCTGAATGTGTAGGTGCAGGTTACTGGGGATATGATGGCCTAGCTTGGGCTCAGGCCTGACAGTAGCCACATGTGGCTGTTTATACTTAAAGTAATTAAAATGAAATAGGAATTCAGTTCCTCAGTCTCCCCATTTTAAATGCACAAGAGGCATCTGTGACTAATGGCTACCTTATTGGACAACACTGTTCTAGACCAGGCGTTGGTGAGCCATGGTCCATGAATTAAGAATGGTTTTACCTTTTTAAGTGGCTGGAGAAATATCAAAAGAATATTTTATGACGTATGAAGATTAAATAAATCAGATTTCAGTGTCTGTAAGTAAAATTTTATTGTGACATGGCCACACTCCTTTGTTTACATTCTGTCTGGCTGCTTTCATACTACCACAGCAGAGTGGAGTAGTTGTGGCAGGGACCACATGGCTAGCAAAGCCTGAAATATTTACAGAAAAGGTTGGCCAGCCTCTGTCTTAGATCATTCATTTCTGAGTGAAAATCATTTACTGCAGAGCTGTCCTTTTTTTTTTTTTTTTTTTTCTTGAGACGGAGTTTCACACTTGTTGCCCAGGCTGGAGTACAGTGGTGCGATCTCAGCTCACCAAAACCTCCACCTTCCGGGTTCAAGCGATTCTCCTGCCTCAGTCTCTGGAGTAGCTGGGACTACAGGCACCTGCCACCACGCCCGGCTAATTTTTTGTATTTGTAGTAGAGATGGGGTTTCACAGTGTTCACCAGGATGGTCTCGATCTCCTGACCTCGTGATCCGCCCACCTCAGCCTCCCAAAGTGCTGGGATTACAGATGTGAGCCACTGTGCCTGGCTTTTTATGTGCAGTTCTCCAAGTACTCGTGTAGAACCTACATGCAGTTGACTATTTTCCTTTTTTAACTCTCAAATAAAACACTATTTTAAGGCCTGGCACGTTGGCTCACACCTGTAATCCCAGCACTTTGGGAGGCCGAGGTGGGTGGATCACGAGGTTAGGAGATCGAGACCATCCTGGCGAACACTGTGAAACCCCATCTCTACTAAAAATACAAAAAATTATCCAGGCATGGTGGCAGGTGCCTGTAGTCCCAGCTACTCCGGAGACTGAGGCAGAAGAATGGCGTGAACCCGGGAGGCGGCGCTTGCAGTGAGCGGAGATCGCGCCATTGCGCTCCAGCCTGGGATACAGAGCGAGACTCTGTCTCAAAAAAAGAAAAGAAATATGCTACAGTATAAATTAGCCTGTTTATAAAATATAAATTTCTTTTAGAAATTTTGATTTATTTTTTAGCATGATTACTGTAAATTTGTCAGATTAATGGAAGTAAGTCAGCTGCTAATTATTCATAGGCTCTGGAATTCTAAAATCATACAAAGAATGTATGATAATTTATGGTAAAAGAAATAACAGTACTGCCTGGTTTTTTCCTACAAAGTTAAGCATTCTCTACTGACACATCACATACTATTACCACAACAACCTTCAGAAATACTCTTAGGAGTATGCCTTCTTTAAAAGACAATCACAAACTGAAAATCTCTCTGCCCTGAAATCTTGTCTCAGTTTAAGAAATGTTAATGGCACAGAGTAAGTCTAAAATGACTTGTCATCTTTTATATGACTGTAAAGTGAATACATTTGGGTGTTGATAATATATGTTCTGGCTAGATGGGTAGGAGTAACATTTTTTGCAGGGGTAAGATATGTTTGGGACTTAATCATTTTGGTAGTAAATATCATTATTTGATATTTAAATATAATTTAAATGTAAATCTTATAATTAACAACTTTACATTTGGAGCAAGATATTGTTGAATTATTTTTCTCCAATTATTAGTAGTTACGTTTATAATGGGGACCTTTTAGAAGAAGATGGTCTGTTTTTCACTATGCCTTTTTGTTTAAATCTCCGTTTGTTCTCTCTCCCCGCTCTTCTAAAGGCCTCCACAGATTTCTAGCACATATCATAAGAAGACTGTATATACTTTAGCCTGGGGGCCACCAGTACCCCCCATGTCACTTGGTAAGTGTCTGAGCAATTCCCTAACGAATATGATAGTATTCTTCCTTCAGTTTAATCTTAAAATATTAAAGATGGAAAGAGTCATAAATGGTCTAGTGCACTGACTGCTTATGTCCCCAGGGGTTCATGAAGACAGTAGTGGCAGACGATAAATCACAGTTCCTGGGAGAAACCATTTACCCATAAGAAGCTTCCCCAAACTCACTAAAGCATTGTTTCTTCTATTTGATCGGAACTTTTTCATTGTATGTGTAGTTATCATGCTGGATCCTGATACCCAGTCTAATATTCTTCACTAAAACTTACTGTCACTTTTTAATTTTATCAGAATTAGAATGATACTTCAGTATATTAATGGAATAATATCTGTTTTCACCCACAGGAAAAGCAAACTTAGAGTTTCTGAAATGATCTCTTGCCTTTAATTCAGCATTCTACTCCTTTCCCTCTTCTAGCCCCTGAGCCTTGTCTTTCTATTTCTTATTCCTAAAGTAATGAGTCTTTTCTTTTAGCTTTTTAAATGAGTGTATTTATCAAAAGTCTCTGATAAACTTTTCTCTAACCATCTATGATGAAACATCTGTAAATGTCTATAGGAATTGCATTACATAGAGAGGATAAGTAGATTTATCATAACTCAAGTAGCATTAGAATTTGTAGTTCATTTATTCAACAGATGTTTACTGGATATGGATATTTGATTTGTGATCTACCGGTGGTAAAAGTAAAACTTGCACTTACAGAAACCCACCAGAATCACTGCTTGTTAAAAATGAAGAGGATTGCTGTGATACTAAGGAAATCACTGCTTTGATGACATCTCATTGTTATAAGACATAGAAAGTCCTACTGTGCTATATAATTCCCAAAGAGTACTCATTTCTGGAAGAAAAAGCAAATTCTCAGAAGCCTTGCTTTGAGAACATATATATTTGTTTTCTGATCCCAGCTTTTGGACCCCTGTTATTATGAATACCAGAAGAATGTTTAAAGCAGATATGTTGCATCACATAAATTAACCTAGAATTATAGTCGTATAGTTTTTTTACTTGCTCCCAACAACTGTGTTCAGATGGAAAGAACAGTGATTTTATTCCAGTGTATTAGAATGTTTCAAATATATAGTTCTTTTAAAACAACTATATAGTATGATATAGTCACACTACAGCAACAAATAGGCTGGTGAAGTACAAAACTGATAAGTTTCTTTTCTTATTTCATACAGGAGAAGGAGACAGACCTTCCCTTGCTTTGTACAGCTGTGGAGGAGAAGGGATTGTCTTACAGCATAACCCCTGGAAGCTTAGTGGAGAAGCCTTTGACATCAACAAACTCATCAGGGACACCAATTCAATCAAAGTGAGTTCTTGTGGTCCTAAAGTCTTTTCTTTCTACATCACAGATCCCTCTGGGTTTCCCATCCTGCAGAATAAATGATATTAGAGATTACCATCATCATAGTAAGTCAGATTTCTTAAATATTCTTATAAGGCTGTGCGTGAATTTGTGAGTTATGTATCTTAGGAGTCTTTATCCTTGAATAAAACAAAGAAGTACCTCTCAGACAGTGAGTATGAGGCAAAAAAAAAAAAAAAAAAAAAACAGAACCACGGAAACAAAAAAGGTTTGTCTCAATTGCAACAATGATTTATTATAAACTTTCAGGTGTTAGGTATAAAGCATCCTTTTCAGGCCAACTACTTTCACCAAAGTGATGCCGTGGTAAAAATAACATTAATATAGTGTCCAAATGCAACTGCGTGGTGTTTTACTCAAGACAAAATTGTCATTTTGTTTTTAATTTTCTGGTAAAATGATTTTAGATTTACACAAAGCTACGAAAATAATACACATAATTTGCTTATATCCTTTATCCAGATTCCCATGTTTAATTACATTTGCATTATCATTCTGTCAATATGCGCCAGAACTGTCTTTTAAAGTCATACCTTAAATGTTGAGATTTCCTTACCCTTTCTTTTCTTTTTTTTTTTTTTTTTTTTTTGGCAGAGTCTCGCTCTGTCACGTAGGCTGGAGTGCAGTGGCATGATCTTGGCTCACTGCGACCTCCGGCCTCCTAGGTTCATGAGATTCTCCTGCCTCAGCCTCCCAAGTATCTGGGACTGCAGGCATAGGCCACCATGCCCAGCTAATTTTTGTATTTTTAAGTAGAGATGGGGTTACACCATGTTGGCCAGGCTGGTTTTGAACTTCTGAGCTCAAGTGATCCACCTGCCTTGGCCTCCTTACCCCTTTCAAATGAGTATTTTTATTTATTTACTTACTTATTTTTTGAGACAGAGCCTCGTTCTGTCACTCAGGCTGGAGTGCGGTGATGCGATCTTGGCTCACTGCAGCCTCCACCTCCCGGATTTACGTGATTCTCATGTCTCAGCCACCTGAGTAGTTGGGATTACAAGCACGTGCCAAGCCTGGCTAATTTTTGTGTCTTTAGTAGAGACAGGGTTTCACCATGTTGACCAGGCTCTGGTCTCGGACTCCTGGCCTCAAGTGATCCACCCACCTTGGCCTCCCAAAGTGCTGGGATTATAGGCATGAGCCACCATGCCCAGCCCCAGTGAGCATTTTTATATTGTTGCTCGTTACTTTTATGGCTAGTATAAAACTAACATTTAGTTATAAATTGAATTGTCTATTATATTCCCTCATTGTCTTTAATTTTATCTAAACATTAACATTCAGCAATGAATAAAAGAGACAAAATTCCTGTTCCTAAGACTTTTAGTTTATTAACACTTGAATGTGTGGATCAGAAGTTCATACTAGGAGTCTGAACTGGAAATAGAAATTTGGAATCCCTTCACAGTAATGATAGATGAAGAAGCTGTGGGCATGTATGAGTGGGCTAAAGAGACAATTAACAAGAGAAGAAGGCCCAGGCAGCCTTGGGGAACACCAGCATATAGATATGTGAGGGAAATGATTCAGGGAAAGAAGCTTTGAAGGGATAGAAAACAAGGAGAGTCTATATAGCTTTCTTTAAGGACCCATGGTCCCCATGTTGTCAAAGCTGATGGGCACAGATCAGTTTAATTAAGTATATATTTCACAAGGTTAAGCATTGTAAACATTTAGTACTTTTTGGCCTTGGGGGTTTTTTGTTTTGTTTTGTTTTGTTTTTTTGACCCAGTTAGGAAATGAGAATTAGAATGCGTGTTCTTAGTAATCCTTTGACTAATTATGTAGATTATTTACAAGAATAGCTGTTGTATAATTAAAACGTTTTTAAACTCTAGGGTTTTTTTTTTCCTCATGCTGTCATTGTTGATTTGTGAGATATGTTTATAATCAAGATTGGTTTGTTCTGCTTTCTAGTACAAATTGCCTGTACACACAGAGATAAGTTGGAAAGCAGATGGCAAAATCATGGCTCTTGGCAATGAAGATGGGTATGTATTTGCTTCTTTAAGATACAAAAATTTGTGATTGCACATATATTTGATCACAAGCTGACTAATACCGTCTGTAACGTTAGCTGGGGAGTCCCAGTTGTATTTGGTATTTTGATTTATTCTTGATATCCTCTGCTGATCTGGGAGTGCCCTGTGTCTTTGAGAACTACAGAATTATTTAGATATTTTCGGTCCATTGAGAGTATTTGACTACACTGTATTCTGGCTGTCTTGTGCCTCACAAAACGGTCACCTCCTATGTTGAACTGCCTAAATCTCACTCCATTTGTTTAAAGTAAGCCTAGTCAGAAATGCTTTTTAGGTCTATGTCCTGACCAGTGTTAATCATAGTAACACAGTCCTAATTCAGCCATTGATCTGTTAATTCTTTTAGCTTCTCCCTATCATCATTTGTCATGAAGGCCTGATGAACACAATTTTATCAAGCATCGTTAGAATGCTAGGAGATTGTTACACTGAGGTAGTGTGGAAAGTTAAAAATTTTTTTTAATTAGTTTTTTTTTTTTTTAAGAGGGAGTCTCGCTCTGTCACCCAGGCTGGAGTGCAGTGGCGCGATCTCAGCTTGCTGCAAGCTCTGCCTCCTGGGTTCACGCCATTCTCCTGCCTCAACCTCCCAAGTAACTGGGACTGCAGGTGCCCGCCACCTGCCTGGCTAATTTTTTTGTATTTTTAGTAGAGATGGGGTTTCACCGTGTTAGCCAAGATGGTCTCGATCTCCTGACCTCATGATCCGCCCACCTCAGCCTCCCAAAGTGCTGGGATTACAGTCGTGAGCCACCGCGCCCAGCCAAAAATTAATTTTTTTAAGAAAAGAATTGTTAGGATATTGCTAGAATTTTTAAAAGCTGATTATACTTTTTGGAGAATAACTTTTTATACTTGATTTTTTATGAGAGAATGATCTTTGCAGTAATAGAAAGGGTTATCCTTTTCTACCTCATCTTTCCTTGACTGATGGAATGAGGGAGCTACTGTTTGCACTGTAACTTGTAATTTGATCATCCATCTTTCTTGTTTTGATGTGTTTCTTATTCCAGATCAATAGAAATATTTCAGGTTCCCAACCTGAAACTGATCTGTACTATCCAACAACATCACAAGCTTGTGAATACCATTAGCTGGCATCATGAGCATGGCAGCCAGCCAGAGCTGAGCTATCTGATGGCCTCTGGCTCCAACAATGCAGTCATTTATGTGCACAACCTGAAGACTGTCATAGGTAACTTTGGTTTCTTTCATACTGGGAATGATACCGTTTGTTCAGCTACTTTCCATTCTAATCTTTGTCACTTTTTACTTTATTTTTGACATTATAATAAATATTATTTTTACTGTGTTTTCTGTTTCAAAAGTAATAGATTCATCTTATTTTAAAATTCTTTCAAACATGACAAAACTGGTAACAGAAGCTGAAGTTGGCCAGGCACAGTTGCTCACACCTGTAATCCCAGCACTTTGGGAGGCCACAGCGAGATTACTTGTGGCCAGGATTTTGAGACCAGCCTGTTAAACAGTGAGGCTCTGTCTCTACAGAAAATTAAAAATAAAAAACAAATTTGCCAGGTTAGAGGTGCACGCCTGTAGTCCCAGCTACTTGGGAGGCTGAGCTGGGAGAATCATTTGATCCCAGGAGTTGGAGGCTGCAGTGAGCTATATTTGTGCCACTGCACCCTAGCCTGGGTGACAGAGCACACCCTATCTCAAAAAAGAAAGAAAAAAAATAAAGTTAAAAAAATTATAAGATAAAATCTTATTCAATAACCATTGTTACTAGTTTGCTGCATGTTTTCTCTAGATTTTATAAAGTCATAGCCTACATATGTATATACATTAGTATATGTTAATAGGTTTGCCCTCCTGTGTACTTGTGTGAAAGAATAATCTTTGTTCCTAGCTAAAAAGAAATTACTATATATAATATATACTGCTTGCAGTTTTTTTCTCTAAATTTATAATGTTTATCATGGACATCTTTTTATGTCAGTGCATAAGGATCTATTTTGCTGTTATTAACAAATATCTGTTGGCCAGGCACAGTAGCTCATACCTGTAATCCTAGTACTTTGGAAGGCCATAGTGGAAGGATAGTTTGAGACCAGGAGTTTGAAACCAGCCTGGGCAATGTAGTGAGACCCCATCTATACAAAAAATAAAAATTAAAAAAAAAAAAATTATCTGTTCATTCCATTATATGGGAATACCATAATTTATCCATTCCACAATTGAATGACCTTCAAATTATTTATTTATTTTTTTTACAATTTCAGTATTATTACAGTAAACTGCCTTATACATATATTTTCATGAACATGGTTGAATCATTTTCGTACAGAAAATTCTAGAAGTGGAATTGCTAGGTAAAAGAATATAGTTTTTTATAGTTATTGTTAAGCAGCTCTCCAAAAACATTATGCCATTTAATACTTCCTCCAGCAGTTTTTGAGTGTTACACACAAACACAGGACATATTCTTCATTCCCGTGTTTGATTGCACCTGATTCTTAAAATCCTGTGAGGGTGATAGGTAATGTTATCCTCATTTTCCCAGTGATTAAACTGAGGCCCAGAAAGGTTAACTAACTTATTCGAGCAAGTATCATCGCTAATGTATGATAGAGCCTAGTTTCAACTTTAGAGTGTCTAATTGCAGTGTCTGTATGTGTTCTAGCAAGTCCTATTCCATGCTTAATGAGTTAACTTTCTTTTCTTTTTTTTTTTTTTGAGTTGGAGTCTTGCTCTGTCACCAGGCTGAAGTGCAGTGGGACAATGTCGGCTCACTGCAACCTCCACCTTTCAGGTCCAAGCGATTCTCCTGCCTCAACCTCCCAAGTAGCTGGGACTACAGGCACGCGCCACCATGCCTGGCTAACTTTTTGTATTTTAGTCGAGACAGGGTTTCGCCGCGTTGGTCAGGCTGGTCTCAAACTTCAACCTCAGGTGATCTGCCTGCCTTGGCCTCCCAAAGTGCTGGGACTACAGGCATGAGCCACTGCGCCTGGCCTATAGTGAGTTAATCTTCATATGGGTATGATTTATTCCATAAGGAACCTTAAGTTTCATTGAGGCCCCTTCGGCGCCTGGGAAAACCATAGTAGGTGGTCATAAGAGCCATTTTTAAATATGAGTGAAGTGGGATTACTTTTTTTTCTATTATGAAGAAATTATAATCTGACACTAAACTGTTTTCAGAGTGCTAGAAAATATGTGCTCTCAGCCATAGTGAAAATAGTTACATTCTTTATTTCTCTGGAATTTACTTCAGTAGTTTTCAAAGAATCCTATGTGTAACAAGAAAAAATATTTTTGGTTCTAGTAGTGACTCTTACTGAGTTAAAAGCCATATGGAAAATGTATTAAAATGTAGATGTATTTTCCTAGTAATAAATAGTGACAGTATATAACTAATGAACTTAGGTTAGAAAGCTGATTCTGGTCCTTACGACTATTATTGGGATTCTAAATTAATCATCTACTTCGTATCATATCTACTAAATAATAGAGAAAGGAAGAAAACTGGCAGAATCCATTTCATTTAATTTTTACCTTCTTATTTTGAAATAATTTAGACTTAGAGGAAAGTTACAAAAATTGTACAAAGAAATCTCATATTTTTTCCTATTAATAGTTGCAGCAATTTTTGATGTGTTATCATATTGGCTTTATTCTATGTGCGTGTGTGTATATAGTTTTTCCTACCCATTACCAGTTTGTTAGTTTAACTTAATGTACAAGAGTTTCATCTCTCCCTTAAAATATATACACCTATTATTTGTCAATTTAAACAAATAGTTTAGGCTAGGCGTGGTAGCTTATTCCTATAATCCAAACACTTTAGGAGGCCATGGCAGAATGATCACTTGAGGCCAGGAGTTCGGGACCATCCTGAGCAATGTAGCAAAACCCCATCTCTACAAAAGTTTTAAAAATTAGCTGGACATGATGGGTACCTATAGGCCCAGTTACTCACAGGCTGAGGTGGGAGGATCCCTTCAGCCCAGGAGTTGGAGGCTGCAGTTAGCTATGACTATGTCACTGTACTCCACCCTTGGCCATAGATAGAGTAAGACCTAAGCTCTTTTAAAAAAAATAAAATAATTTAATCAGCCACCCATATCCTAGTTGTGTCAGTTGATCCAATAATGTCCTTAATAGTAGTTCTTTTTTTCTGCAGCGCAAATTCAAACACAAGATCACCTATTTGCATTTTGTTGTCATATCTCTTTAGTCTCCTTTCATCTGTAATAATTTCTCAGCCTTTTAAAAATTATTTAGGCCAGGCGTGGTGGCTCACGCCTATAATCCTAGCACTTTGGGAGGCCAAGATGGGCGGATCGCCTGAAGTCAGGAGTTCGAGACCAGCCTGGCCAACATGGTAAAACCCCATCTCTACTAAAAATACAAAACTTAGCTGGGTGAAACTGGGTGAAACTAAGAGTGAAACTCCGTCTCAAAAAAAAAAAAAAAAAAGTATGTATTTATTTTTTAGAAACTGGGTGTCATTGTATTGTTCAGGCTGGAGTGTAGTGGTGCAGTTATAGCTCACGACAGCCTCCAACTCCTGGGCTCAAACCATCCTCCCACCTCAGCCTCCTGAGTAGCTGGTACTACAGGCGGACACCACAATGCCTGGCTAGGTTGGTTTTTGGTTTTTGTGTTTTTCCTTTTTTTTTTCAGTCTCACTCTGACACCCAGGCTGGAGTTCAGTGGCATGATCTCAGCTCACTGCAACTTCTGCCTCCCAGGCTCAAGCAATCCACCCATCTCAGCCTCCCACGTAGCTGGGACTATAGGTGTGCACCAACACACCCGGGTAATTTTTGTATTTTAGTAGAGTCAGGGTTTCTGCAGGCTGGTCTTGAACTCCTGAACTCAAGCAATTTGCCCACCTTGGCCTCCCAAAGTGCTGGGATTATAGGCGTAAGCCAACACACCTGGCCAAGCCAGACTTTTTAAAATCGTATGTGACATTTTTGAGGAAGATAGGGCATTCGTTTTGTAGATGCTTTCTCATTTTGCATTTGTCTGGTATTTTCTCATGACTGTATTCAAATTCCACATTTTAGCTAGAATATCCTCTAAGTGATAATGAGACCTAACACTTCTCATGGTAATCTATATGCTAAGCACTGTGGATGTGCCCACACTCTTAATAACTAACAATGTTGCCTGCTAAAACTCACCTAGACTTGGGAGGCTGAGGCAGGAGAATTGCTTGAACCCGGGAGGCAGAGGTTGCAGTGAGCCAAGATCGCGCCATTGCACTCCAGCCTGAGCAACAAGAGTGAAACTCCATCTCAAAAAAAAATCACCTGGAAAATGTATGGCAAAATCTTGATTCTTGCCATGTGAATGCCTTCCTGGATGTACTTTTTGTTTTGTTTTTTTGTTATTATTAGTAGTAGCAGTGATGTCTCTCCCTTGCCTTTTAGAGAGCAGCCCTGAGTCTCCAGTGACCATTACGGAGCCCTACCGCACCCTCTCGGGGCATACGGCCAAGATTACCAGTGTGGCGTGGAGCCCACATCATGATGGAAGGCTGGTATCTGCTTCCTATGATGGTACAGCCCAGGTACTATTGTGTCCTTGTCCCTGTGGGTCCCTCACTGTGTACTCTAACAAATTCTTTCGTCTTTTCCCCTGGTTGTGAACAGGTTTTGCCTCCCCCATTATCATCTACAGAAGGAGATTTTCTGGCTTTATTTTAGTTTCTTTCATTCCACATAACTGGGCCTTCAGCAGGCTAAGACTGGGGTTTTTTTACTTAGATGAAGGGGAAAGTATTGATAGGAACTAGCTAACTCTAACATTTTTACAGATTTCATTCTGACTCCCTGTCAGTATGGTGGACTAATATATATGCAAAGTACTCTCTTCTGTTCAGACACTGAAATGTTGGCTAAAAATCACAAAACAATTTTTAATAATAAATTGTTAAGTCAGAAATGTCCAAGTTCTAAATAAATAAAGATGAAATGCCAGGCCAGATCTATGACGAGGACTTCTGGATATCAGAACTAGAATAGGTGTTAGGAGCTGGGGACCTAACACCCGTGATGTCTGTCTCTCTCAGTGTTGAGTTGTAATTGAACTATCTGCACAAAGCTAAGAGTCGCAAAGGGCTGCCTTCTGTGAAACTGAGTTCAGAATAATTCAAGAAATAGAAAGGAGGTTGGCCAATTACTCAAGGAATTGGAGACAAAAGAATCATCTATGAGAAATTAGAACTCTAATTTCTGTACTAGATGTGGGTTATTTTCTTCATGATACCAAAATCTCAAGCCCAAAAGTTAACATACAGTTTTGATTCGAGACAGTGGAATCCATAGGACACCAGTAGAAGCTCATTCAAAATCATCCCCGTAGGAATGTCTATACATCTCCGAGCACAGAAGTCTCTCACAGGAAGTAGTACTCTTCTGAAATCGAACTTCTAAGAGAAAACTCCAAATCATGTGAGGAAATAAGAGGCTGCAGATTGTTTTTTGTTTGTTTTTGTTTTTTAGTTAGAAAACATACCCCCCAAACAATAGAATAACCAGAAAATGTCTATTCGGCCATGTGCTTTTGGGTTTAGGTGTGGGATGCTCTCCGGGAAGAGCCCCTGTGCAATTTCCGAGGACATCGAGGTCGACTGCTTTGTGTGACGTGGTCTCCTTTGGATCCAGACTGCATCTATTCAGGGGCAGATGACTTTTGTGTGCACAAGTGGCTCACTTGCATGCAAGATCATTCCCGGCCTCCTCAAGGTCAGTCAGAATCTAGAGCTTATTTAATTCTTGTTCTCCCTTTCTTAATAATTGAGTTGATCAGGATTGAGCAAGGAAGACATTCATGTAGGGCATTAGTGTCAGTATGGCAGGTATCTGAGCCTAAGCAAGAAGGCTTGAGAACATCACCACCCACAATAGGAAAGAGCATACCTGGCACTCAGATCTTGGTTTCTTTTTTGAGACAGAGTCTCGCTGTGTTGCCCAGACTGGAATGTAGTGGCGTGATCTTGGCTCACTGCAGCCTCCATCTCCTGGGTTAAAGCGATTCTCGCACCTTGACCTCCCTAGTAGCTGGAACTAAAGGTGTGCACTACTACGCCTGACTAATTTTTTTGTATTTTTAGTAGAGATGGGGTCTAGCCATGTTGGCCAGGCTGATCTCAAACTCCTGGCCTCAAGTGATCTGCCCACCAGCCTCCCAAAGTGCTGGGATTACAGGCATGAGCCACCGTGCCCAGCCCAAATCTTGGTTTCTAAATGACATTCTCCACTAAAAGTGTCCATGGTTTCTTGGATAAATGGCTCTTTCCGGACTGGGACAGGAAGAATACAAACTGAACCTGGAATATTCTTATGCCACAAAGGAAGGCAGTACTCAAAGAATTCAGGAGACATGTCAAAAGGACAAAAGAAACAGCTTCAAGAGGCTCCCACTGACCAAATCTGGGACAATTGTTGAAAATAAAGTAAGAGGAAAATTCCATTTCTGGCTAAGAAAGATTAATTGGTATCAGACTTGCCATAAGCAACTAGAAAGCTAGACAAAATATATTAAGCAACTGCTGGGCACAGTGGGTCATGTCTATATTCCCAGCACTTTGGGAAGCCAAAGCTAGAGGATCACTTAAGGCCAGGAGTTTGAGACCAGCCTGGCAACAGCGCAAGATCCCATCTCTACCAAAAATTACAAAATAAAAGCAAATAGGAAAAATTGGCCAAGCATGGTGGCTCACTCCTATAATCCCAACACTTTGGGATGCCGAGGCAGGAGGATGGCTTAAGTCCAGGAGTTCAGGACTAGCCTGGGCAACATAGGGAGACATTGTCTCTGTGAAATAATTTTTTTTTTTTTTTAAATGAAAGAATATATTCAGCAACTAGAAATTTACACCCAAAGAAATGAAATATGTCCACATAAAGACTTGTAAAAGAATGTTCATAGTAGCTTTATCTGTGATGACCAAAAACTGATAACAATCCAAATGTCCATCATCAGATAAATGAATTAATTGCAGTATATTTCTACAGTAGGCTTCTACTCCACAATAAAAAGAAGCTAACAACTGATAAAGAACAAAACTGATGAATCTAGAAAAACATTATGCCAAGCAGAAGCAGCTAGGCACAAAAGACTACATACTGTCTAATTCTGTTTATGTGAAATTCTTTTTTTTTTTTTTTTTTTTTTTTGAAACTCTGTCACCCAGCCTGGAGTGCAATGGCGCACTCTTGGCTCACTGCAACCTCCACCCTCCAGGTTCAAGCAATTCTCCCGCCTCAGCCTCCTGAGTAGCTGTGTCTACAGGTGCGTGCCTCCTCGCCTGGTTATTTTTTGTGTTTTTAGTAGAGACAGGGATTCACCATGTTGGCCAGGCTGAGATTGAACTCCTGACCTCAGGTGATCTGCCCACCTCAGTCTCCCAAAGTGCTGGGATTATAGGCGTGAGCCACTGCACCTGGTGTATGTGAAATTCTTCAACAGGCAAAACTAAACCTCAGTGAGAGCAAATTAGTGATTGCCTAGGGCTCAAGCAGGGGGTATGTCTTACCACAAAGAGGCTTGATGGAAATATTAGATTGGTACAAAAGTAATTGTGGTAGGGTGATGTGACTACATACATCTGTCACAGCTCATCAACGTATTAAAAAATGGGTGTATTTTATTATATTACCCCTCAATAAAGATGATTTTAAAGTAAGCAAAGGATAAAAACCTTAAAATGTAAATGTAGAAACCTTAAAAATGAAAATAGAATAGTAATGGAAGAATTCCTGAGTCCAGACTGGTACAATAAATGGGAGAAGCACAAGCTCTTCCTTGTGGTAGGATGCCAACTGGATGTCAAGCTCTTCCTTGTGGTAGAATGTAGAGTGAAGTCCTGGAATTAGAAGTTCACCCTGTGGGCCAGGTGCAGCAGCTCACGTCTGTAATCCCAGCACTTTGGGAGGTGAGCTGATCACTTGAGCCCAGGAGTTTAATACCAGCCTGGCCAACATGACAAAACCCCGCCTCTACAAAAAAAAAAAAAAAAAAAAGTTCAAAAATTACCCAGGCATGGTATTGCACACCTGTAGTCCCAGCTGTTCAAGAGGCTGAGGCAGGAGGATTGATTGAGCCTGGAAGGTCAAGGCTGCCGTGAACTGAGATTCTGCCACTGTACTCCAGCCCAGACAACAGAGCAAGAGCCTGTCTCAAAAAAAAAGAAAAAACAAACTCACTATTTGGCAGTCATCGTGGTAACAATTTTTAATCAAGAAACATCCGTGAATACTAAAACTAGTAGATGCAAATACCTAGTAGTTAAACAGGGGAAATACCCTTTTAGGGAGTAACTTGCAAGACAGCCCCTTAATCAAGTGATCAAAGTAAGCCAAATGGGACAAATAAAAATTAGCTGCTACCTCATAGATTGCCCTGGATGAACACAGCAGCACTAATGTGCATTCCAGCTAAAGATGCATACCCTAGATCTAGTCATGAAAAACATCTGACAGACCTAAATTGAGGGAAATTGGACAAAATAACTGTCCTGTAATCTTCAGAAGTTTCAAATTATGAAAGTCAAAGGAAAACCATGCAACTAACTGTTCCAGGCTGAAGGGAACCAGAAAGGCATGACAACCAAATGTACTGTGATCCTCGATTGATTCCTTTTGCTATAAAAGACATCTGGGTAGGCCGGGCATGTGGCTCACGCCTGTAATCTCAGCACTTTGGGAGGCCAAGGTGGGCAGATCACCTGAGGTCAGGAGTTTGAGACCAGCCTGACCAACATGGTGAAACTCCGTCTCTACTAAAAATACAAAACTTAGCTGGGCGTGGTGGCGCGTGCCTGTAATTCCAGCTACTCAGGAGGCTGAGGCAGGAGAATCGCTTGAACCTGGGAGGCAGAGGTTGCGGTGAGCCAAGATCACGCCATTGCACTCCAGCCCGGGCAAGAAGAATGAAACTCTGTCTCAAAAAAAAAAAAAAGACATCTGGGTAAAATTGGCAGAACTTAGAGTGTACGGAGTAGATAGCAGTAATAAGTCATGTTAATTTCTTGATTTCCGTGGTTGTACTATGGTGATGTTGGAGCATGTCCTTGTTCATAAGACACACACTAAAATATTTGGGTGTTGTTGGGCATCATGTTTATGATTTAATGAAATCTCAAAAGCGTTTGGTTAATATTGTGATAATGTAACTCTGAAAGTTCATTGGGAAGGAAGGGAATGGGTTAAAATGCTATTAAAGAGTAATGAGATATTGGAGTTTACCACCTAGAGTGTCTTTTAACCAAGAATGTATACTTTAGTCTGTCCTTCTTTATTGTGACCCTTGTAGGCAAAAAAAGTATTGAATTAGAGAAAAAACGGCTCTCTCAACCTAAGTCAAAGCCCAAAAAGAAGAAAAAGCCCACCTTGAGAACTCCTGTAAAGCTGGAATCGATTGATGGAAATGAAGAAGAGAGCATGAAGGAGAACTTGGGACCTGTGGAGAATGGTGTGTCAGACCAAGAAGGGGAGGAGGAAGCACGGGAGCCGGAATTACCCTGTGGCCTCGCTCCAGCGGGTATGTGGCAGAATCCTGGGTGTCACTGGGATTTCGTGGTCATGTCTAGGAGACTAAGCTAGGTCCTTACTCAGTTTGAAACTTCGCTGTTCCCATTTTTCCAACTCTTGGAAACAGCATTAGTTTTGTTTTTGTTTTGTTTTGTTTTTTCCAAGCTTTATTCAAGTCTCTAAAATAAACATCTTTGAAGTTTTAAAAGGATTCTAGTGGATGTTTGCAGTGGAAATAGTAAAGTTCTATAGAGAAAACTTCTTATTTACCTTGAGTGAGGTAAAACCATGGGACAAAGTGAAGCTTGGGTAGTTGTGTACATAGGAACTTACATGGGAAAAGTTTTAACAGTATGACATCAGTGGCCACATTTGGTGAAAGAAACCACTGTCCCTGTTACAAATGTCTGACCTAGAAGCTACCACCACTGTGGGATCTTGCAAGCTCTCAAACCCTCTTACCTGGAGTTTGTACGTGGCTTTCTGTCTTCTCACAGAAAAAAATGTGTGGAATGGTTATTAGTTTCTTCTAGTGAGTTAAGCTATAGTGGTGGTTCTCAGATTTATCACAAAACAGTGTTCTATCACTAACAGAAAAACTGTTCTTAGGTAAAAATTTTAGCACTCTTTATTTTGTACCTTACCTTAAAGTATTACCTTAAATATCTGGTCCCTGTTAAAATAAATTGTTAAATAGCAAACATTGTAAGCAGAAGCAATGACTCATGCTCAATTCTAAAACAGAATACATTGATGTGACAGAATTAAAATGACTAGAATATAGGATACAAGGCATTCCTGATGCTCTCCATCCCAAGGGATAGCTGTTAGACACATAGTTGGGGTAAATAAAGAGCAAAAGCCTAATGGATTTATTATTTTGGCTCATCAAAATGCTTTTCTAGTCGGGTACAGTGGCACATACCTCTAGTCCCAGCTGCTCAGGAGGCTGAGGCAGGAGGACCGCTTGAGGCCAGCCTGGGCAACACAGCAAGATCCTACATCTCTTTATTTTTCTTTTTTTAAAGAACCTTTCTTTCACAAAATGGCTATACAAAACATGGATCAACAAGTTGTTTCTAAAAAGTTATTGTGCTCAGGATTGTGATACCATATTGCATACACCTAGTATTCTCTATTATTAAAGTTACTCCTTGTTAGTATAATTAAATATGCAATTAGTACTTTATGACCTAAAAATGTAAAAAGTGCTTTGTCACTTGAGCAAAGTATAGGAACTCCTTGGCTTATGGTGTAAAGTTGTTGAGGTCTGGAAGCTTTTTCCTTAGTCAAAGTTCAAAGTAAGGCAGGCATGGTGGTTCATGCCTGTAATCCCAGCACTATGGGAGGCCAAGGAAGGAGACTCGCATCAGCCCAGGAGCTTGAGACTAGCCTAAGCAGCATAGGGAACCCCCATCTCTGCACAAAATGTAAAAATTGCCAAGATAATGGCTTATGCCTATAGTCCTAGCCACTCTGGGAAACTGAGGAGGGGAGGGTCACCTGAGCCCAGGAGGTTAAGGCCTCAGTGACTGATCACACCACTACACTCCAGCCTGGGCAACAGAGTTATACCTTATCTCTAACCAAAAAAAAAAGAAAAAACAGTTCAAAGTAAGCCGGGAGCGGTGGCTTACGCTTGTAATCCCAGCACTTCGGGAGGCTGAGGCGGGTGGATCACCTGAGGTCAGGAGTTTGAGACCACCCTGGCCAACATGGCAAAACCTCGTCTCTACTAAAAATATGAAAATTGGCCAGGCATGGTGGCTTATGCCTGTAGTCCCAGCTACTGACGAGGCTCAGGCAGGAGAATTGCTTGGACCTAGGAGGCAGAGCTTGCAGTGAGCCGAGATCGCACCACTGAGTTCTAGCCTGGGCGACAGAGTGAGACTTCGTGTCAAAAAAAAAAAAAAAACCCAAAGTAATAGACATACAGATTCCTGAAAACAGCTAGTTTGGGAGATGGGGAAGGGAAAACTATCCCTACTTCCCTTCCAATGTATTTTATCTCAAAAGTTTTGGTAATAGATGAATTGATTGTGTTGCTGAGCTTGGAATGGCTCTTAATTTTTAAAAAGAACTGAAATTCTGTATTATTTTTATCCTCAACTTTTTTTTTCCTTTTTCCCCCATGATGTAGTTTCTAGAGAACCAGTTATCAGAGAACCAGTTATCTGCACTCCGGTTTCCTCAGGCTTTGAAAAGTCAAAAGTCACCATTAATAACAAAGTCATTTTACTGAAAAAGGAGCCACCAAAAGAGAAGCCAGGTTGGTATCTAGTAATTAAAATACAGTATTTTGTTAAAGTAGCCCAAAATATTACATGCAACTGTCAAAAAACAGTGTGGTTTCTTGTTTGTTTTTTTAGGTTCAAAATATTTGTGGGTTTTCTGATTATGGGTTTTTTGTTTGTTTTTTGTTTGAGATAGATTTTCACTCCAGTCGCCCAGGCTAGAGTGCAGTGGCGCACTCTCGACTCACTATGAACTCCACCTCCCGGGCTCAAGCGATCCTCCTGCCTCAGCCTCCCGAGTAGCTGGGATTACAGGCACCTGCCACCACGCCCAGCTAATTTTTGTAGAGGTGGGGATTCACCATGTTGGCCAGGCTGGTCTCGAACTCCTGGCCTCAAGTGATCCGCCCGCCTCAGCCTCCCAAAGTGCTGGGATTACATTCATGAGCCACTGCACCCAGCCTTCCATTTTGGGTCATGCTTTTGAATTTTTTTTTAGCACTTGCTGAAATGTTTTGCAGTTGTTGATATTGCATCATAAATGTTAGCAAGAGCGTTTTTGTGTGTATTGTGAACAATGCCCCCAGCAAATTTATTTTGAAAGCTTCTTTATTAGGAGGAGGAACTTTCTGTGCCTGTGGCGTCATCCTGCCAGTAGGTTACAGTCACACAATAGGCATTCCGTTTTATGTTTCTGATCAGCTCTCCTTCAGATAGTGTGTACTTTTATTACATTTCAGAAGCCTTAATCAAGAAGAGAAAAGCTCGTTCCTTGCTTCCCCTGAGTACAAGCCTGGACCACAGATCCAAAGAGGAGCTTCATCAGGACTGTTTGGTACTAGCAACTGCAAAGCACTCCAAAGGTACAAAAATGTACTGCCTTGGCCC